TCGAACCGTCAGGAATGCCCGAACTGGTTCGACTGGACTGGATCGACGGCTCACTCGGAGTTGGTCGATCTTTCGCTTAACTTTGTGCAGCTCAGTTTAACTGTGGTCTGGGTTCGGCGTGGTAACTCGTGGCCGAAACGAACTTGATTGACACAGCTTAGCCGATGCACGGTTTGAAATGGTGCCACGCTCACTGACGCGGGGGCGTGCTTGGACCACGACTAACGGAATGTATTGCGGTGACGGAAGATTGGACGGACTCGGTGCACGGGCACACACTCGGTGGTTTGACTCGGACTCGATGCACGGGCACGCACTCGGTGGTTCGGCTCCAACGGTCGCACGAGAGTTGAACACGTGTACGGGACGACGATACATGTTAAGAAATAAATGCTACGACTTCTAAAAATTATTTAAATAGTACTAGGGTTCGGGCGATTATACCTGAATCTGGAATTTACCCAATTATCGAACCGGATAAAACTAGAGTTTATGATTATCGAAAATCCTAACTCATTTTAAGCCGATATTTAAATCATTAATTTCTATGTGATTTATATGGATTTTATAATCAACAACTGCAACTAAAATTATTTTCGGCTAATTTTTACAATTATCGCATTTTTCGACTGAAGTCCTAATTTTTTATCTAAGTCAAAGGACATCCAAAATTTACGAAATTTAAAACATAGGATCTCATCACATATACGATCTATGGTCAAAATATCAAGTCAAAAGTCAAATCCTAACGCATTCAACTAATAATCGCATTAACGGTCAAATACGCATAAAATCGGTTCGCCTATTAAACGAACTCCGAAAGTTTTCGGACCCGCATCCTAAGCCTCAAGACAATGCAATGAATTTATATTTAATTCGCCATTTTATCGCATTTATATAAAAAGCTCGAAAAATCCACTTCAAGCTTGAAAAATCACAATTAATTCAAAAATCACTAAAATCATCAAATTCTTGATCTTATAATTATTCATTAATCACAACTAAGCCATTGGAGTCTGGTTCAAGCTATTTTACCTTAAATCGGCTCAAATTGGAAAGATTTTTTAAGTGTTCAATCAGACAATGTTTGAAAGAAGGACGTAACCAGTGGGAAAATGGATCGGAGTTTGGACTGGGTTAGGTTACGAGCAGTTGGGTCGTATTTGGAGTTGGGCGAGTCGGACCGAGTTGCTCCTGGGTTGGGTCAGGGTCGCTGGTCACGGGTGGCTCAGACCTGAGCATAGATCTGGGTTCGGGTGTACGGTCTGTCGGTGCGACGGACCGTATGGACAGTAGTTGCTGGTGTCGGGCGCAGGTGTACGGACGCCCGTGTGCAGGGAAATGGAGCTCGCGTACGGACGCGCGGGTGAATAGGGACGGGCTTACGGCATGGATCTAGTTTCGCGCGTACAGTTGCGTCGGGTGTACGGACGTGAGATGCAGCGTACGGGGTCGAGGCGTGCTCGACTGGACGGCGTGCGTGCGGGATGGTTGCGATGCGTACGAACGCGACTGGGAAGGGCGCACGGCGTACAGACTTCGGCTGAGGTCGTGCGTACAAGGGTTTATGGTCACGGTGCAGGCTCGTACGGGGTGGACTCGAGCTGTACGAGCTTCGTGGAGCTGGGACCGTGCGGAGGTGAGCGAACCGCGGGTGGGTGAGGTGCGTGGCTGGCTGGTCGGCGTCGTGACCGAGCCGACTTGTAGTCGGTTAATAAATTTTCAGTAACCAAAAATGCATTTCAATTTTATACCAAAAAACCGAACTGGTTTTTCGCAAAATAAAATAATAATAATAATAATAATAATAATAATAATAATAATAATAATAATAATAATAATAATAACAACCTGCAAAATTGCTTACTAACACTGGAGTCACTAGAGCATATGAAATTATCCATAATGATATAAGGTTATGTGCTTATTAAAAAAACCACACTTGTGTTTTACAGTTATTATATAGTAATTGATATATTTTCTGAAGCTATAAATGCAAGTACAACCGTTGTGTTTGTTTTACTTTTAAAATTATTCTCAAATTTCTTCATTAATTAGTCTAAACTTTAATAGGTTGTCTGTAATAATCCTGGCAGGGTTATATAGAAAGCAAATCTTCCACGCCAAACCATGCTAGCGATAGACACCAATAAAAATATTACAAACTGATTGTTTCAATTACAACGTGAAACCTAATAACAGAATATTGTGTTTTCAGTTTGTACAACTTGGACTAGAAAACAGGAAAAAAAAAACACTGTAGATGCACGAAGAGAATCAGCCGAGGCGAGGATTGATCTTCCGCAAGAGGAATACGCCCCGTAGTGTGCTGACGGATTCAGACATATCGTCTCCAGTGATACAACAACTACGTCTCAAAAGTTGTATAACTTCAGACTTCTGAGCTCCTACGAGCTCGAACGAAGTAAAAAAATGAGCATTGTATGTTATGATGCGTGAGGTTTTTTTGGATAATAAAATACATGACATTCTTGTATTTTTCAGCAACTCTAGACAGGTCTTGTTTATAAGACTTCCAACTTAGGTAGGGGTGACACCAGTCACCTGCCACTTAACACAAGTAACGACCCACTTAAGGATATTCTAATGGGTAGAGATAGAATCAGTCAGTTTTCAAGTGTTACCACACCACTACTCAGCTATTAACACACCACTACTCCACCTGAAACAGTCAAATGGTGTCAAATGTCCAAGTTCAATGTGTCTGGAAAGGTCTCACTCAGATTGAGTCAAAAACCTGAGCACAAAGTTAACTTAAATTGGATTTCAATTTGGGCCACAAAGTCGCAAATAAAATTGGAGCAAAAAGATATATAGTGGTTGGGCCCACGGCCCAAGTCCTTCACCAAGCACAATATCGGCCCAGACCGTCCAAGTTTAACCCACAGTCCAATTGCGAAGGACCAAAAACCAAGGACCAAAGTCCAAGACCCAAGTCCCAGGCTTGTGATAGTGCCCGAGCCCAAGCCGAGCCGAGTTAGGCCGGCGGTGCGCATGTCTAGCCCAATCCAATACAACCCTTGTGCATAACTTTGTTACTGTTGTGTCATCTCCAACTCGCTTATTATAATAAAGTGGCTAATCTCGCCTAAGAGTTCAATGTGAAAAAGGACTCTTGACTTTTTGAATCCCACAACATTTTACGTGTCCATTAATGGCCAAGTTTAATCATTTATTTCTCACTCATTGAAAATCAATTTTGTGAAAATGAATATACCACGAGTATCTACTCAAAATGTAGAACTTTTCTACATAATCTAATTAAACCAAAATTAAATATTTAGCTATAAAAAAGCAGTCAAAACTGAGTCAAATCCAAGTTTTTTAGCAGAATTTCCAATAGAAAATACCAACAGGAGCGCACAAGGGTGGAACTTCTGAATAGAAGCATACGATCTTTTGCAACTAAGATTTCTAAGATGCTTGGATATAAAAATTTTTGGATTTGTTTGGATTTTTTGTTTGGTTTTGTTAATTTTGGAAAAGGTGGTATGATTAGTTGTTAGTGGTATATTAAAATAATATTTAAAATATAATAATTAAAGTTGATTTGATATAAAAGTATGAGAGATGATTTTAAGTGATGATTAGTTAAAATTATGTGAGTGGATGAATAGTGAATTAATGTTGATGTGATGTGTATAAATGATTGATTGGTATAATTTAATTATATTAATAATATTAATGATAATGATGTTGGATTAAAGTTGAATTAGAAAAGTTAGTGAGTTAAAAATATTTGGATTTTTTGGAATTTTGTATCAAGCATAACTTAACAAAGTGAATGCGTATATGAGTATGGAACTAATGAAAGAATTACATAATAGACAAGTCAAAAGAGCACTTATTATTATGGTTCAGTTCAAGTTTAACCGAACCCTTATGTTGAGGTACCGATACCGAAACGATAGCCTTTCTATAACCGGTTACCGTTACAAGCGAGTGTACTTTTCGATTCATTTTTTCGTCGATTCAATTTGATTTGGTTCGTTTACGTCTTTCGTAAAAAAATGTCAGCCCTAAGCAATACTCCTCTCACAACTCCTCGTCCACTCTATTTTTGTTGAAACCTAAAGTAAGAAAGAAAGAAAAGTTCACTATAGGTTCAATGAGTTTAGTTCCTTATGCCTTCGATAAGGTTAACTCGAATGCCTAGTTCAGAACTAGTATCAAATGCCAAAATTGATCATCAATACTTTCATATAACTAACATTTTCAAGAAATAGCAACCCGGCCAGATTAGACGAGAATTCGTCCAATATCCAAGCGAATTCACAGTACTTGTCCATTCATACGTTCATATCTTAGAATTTAACCCAACTGCAGTTTCTGCACACACAACTCTGTTACTTTCATCTGCAAACTAAAACTGCCCATCCACCGGAGCTTATTAAATGAGAGTTATTCCTAAGGTGATGTTTAAATTCGATCGTCGGAGCTTAAGAGTGCCCTCTGCAACCAGCAAGCTACATAGCAAGTGCCGTGCCAACCCAATAATCGAAAGCTCGAATTTGAATCGAAAAACAAAAGGAAACAAAGAGAGTTTTACTACTACCAAAATCTACATATTTTCTATTAAAACTAGTGATAATTACATTGATGAATGATGATACATAATGCAACTCAAGTCCCACCATCGTCGTCGTCACCACCAATATTATTAGTGAAACCAAACCCAGCAACTCTATCGTTTAGATAAAACCTACATTATTAGTGAAAGAATTTAGTATTCTTTCACCGGCTTTTATGTGAACCCTAAGTATTAAAAGACACAAACCCCAACAAGAAAATGAAAATTAAAAAGAAAAAAAAAATTAAAGAAGAACCATAGATTAAACAAACTTGAACTCCCGGGTACTGAAAATTCCAAACCCGTATTCTGAAAAAAATAATCTACGGGTTGGAAGTCGAGACGACCGGAGAATCCAATCGGAGCCATACGCCGAATCAGACTTGTGTTTGGAACCCAAAATAAATTGTCAATCGAGACGAAGCAGGCGCCTCAGATCTCGCGTCGCGGTATCATCCAACGGCCGGATTTCACCGCCGTCAGTTTGCTGTTTTTTGTTGAAAAAGGAAGGCAGAGGGAGGGCGCGTGGAGACGGCGATAGAGAGAACGCCGACCCGGCGTACACGTCGTGAAAAGACGGCGGCGACAGGCGGATCTGCTTCGGCAGCATATCCGGCGACTCCGGTCCGATCCGGCTGGTCCCAAGAAACGCCATGTCGTCGCCCGGTATCTGATTTGGGGATCTAGGGTTTGACTTTCCGCCCTTCATTTTGGACACCAACGAATCAAGCGACTCGCCCCTCCTAAGGATCGTCACCTGCCCCATCACGAGGCCGCCGCCAACTCCGTGATCCTTCCGCCGTACATCCGTCACGCCGCCTTGGGTTACCTTCTTCGTCCCGCCTTTCTCCGCCGTGGCGGTGGATCTTTTCTTGTCCGGACGGGGAGATGCTTTTTTATGGGCCACGTTGTAACTCGACCTCCGATTGACGATTAGGTGGGTCAGGTTTCCGTTGCCTGGAAAATTCCTCCGGCGATGGAACGACGCCGGAGGAACGCGTAATCTACCGGCGAGGAGATCTTGTGGCGGTAAAACCTCTGTTCCCATGTTTCAGTCGGAGAAAAATTTGAAACCCTCGAAAATATTTGGCAAAATTAACAGTTTTTCCAAATTTCTTTGCAGATGGAAAAATGAGAAAGGTATTATTTTAATTTTTTTTTTCCTTTCGCAAAAACTCTTCCTTAAATGGTAGGGCAACAGATAATATAAATATATAAATTAGCAGTAGTTGAGAAATGCGATGTATTTGCGAGTGGAAGAAAAATGGATATATATACAGAAAGCAGAGAATGTGAAGGACACGGAGCGGATAGGGTTAGGGGAGGCTTCAAACCGACCTACGTCGAGACGCGTGAACAAATCAAACAAGTGACGGAAATAAAAGGTAAAAATAAGGAAAAGATGAAAAAAAAATGGCATTACTATTTACCGCCCCCTTGGACGATTTTGCCTTTTTCATTTTTTGTGTCCGCAAAAATGTCGAGCAGCTCGGAGGTAAAAAAAAACTGACCGGCCCGTTTTTCCGCACGGCACCGGTGACGTCCGGCCGACCGGACCGGACGGCTTAACACACGTCCGGCCGGTTCGACCGGACACGTCCCTGGCCGTGCGAAATGTGTGGCCGTACGGACCGGTCGTTGTACTAACCGACCGGTCGTACGGCCCACTTGGTGTCCGGCCACGACGGCCGGTTATGACCCGGTCCGGCCGGTCCGACCGGCCGGACACCATATAATTTTTTTTTTTGTTTTTTTTTTTATTTTTATTTTATTATTAATTTTAAATGCTTTAAAATTATTAAATACATTGCAGGTGTCTTTAGAAGATTTTGGAGGAGATGGTGTTAATTACCGTTCCGCTTTAGATACAACTACGCTGTTTATTAGTGATGTGGAGGCTATTAAGGATGCAAAAAGTACGGCAATTCTGAATGGTTTCTTTTTGACTATTTCGAAACACAAAAAACCCGGAAG